TCCAGACAAAGACAGACTAGGATGAAAGTTCTGGTGATCTATTTCTGAAAATCAGCCAATGAAAACGCCATGGATCACAACAGAATATTGTCCAAGGTAGTGTTGCAAGATGGGCCCACAGGTTGGACCCACTGCCATCGAGTTGATTCTAACTCACAGCAACCCTACAGGACAGAGTAGAACTGCCCCATAAGGTTTGCAAAGCTGTAAATCTCTGTGGAATCAGACTACCTCATCTTTTTCCTGTGGAGCAGCTGGTGGGTTCAAATCACTGACCTTTTGGTTCATAGCCAAATGCTTTAACCACTGTGCCACAAGAGCTCCTTCCTAGGTTGGAAGGTACTCAAAATACAACAATGGACTTGAACTTACCATCTACCGTAAAGATGGCACACAGCCAGGCAACATTTCATTCTGTGTTGTACATGAGGCTGCCATGAGTCGGAGCAGACTCAATAGCAACAATGAAAAAAGAATCAAATCAATAAGCATTTACAAAGAGCCTACGTGGAATACAGAGTGACCAACTCATCCTAGATTAGCACTGAAACTCCCACATCCTGGTTCTCAGAGATCCAGCAAACGGGGAACTTTAGTCACCCTAGAGGATCTGTAGACACAGAAGTATAGGCTTTGAGAAGTCCTTGAGGATAAGAAGTAATAACGTAATAATAACTAGCTTTTACTGAAACTTAAATAATGCATATAAAAGCATTTAATTCAATTCTCCTAACAACCCTATCACTTAAAGCCCACTTCATAGATGAGGAAATTAAGGCTTAAAGCAAAGAAAATTTCCCAACATCCCCCAACAGTAAGGCACAGAGCCAAGGGCTGAAGGGCAAAAACAAATAAAAAGGTAATCAATGCAAGTTCAAATCAACAATAGGAGAAATGACAAGAGAATGTAATAATTAGCAAAAATACAGGAAGTAGCCACAAAGCACTCCAGGGCAAGGAAGAACTGGCAAGGGAAGATTTTGAAAAATTGGGATTGAAGCCACCATCCACTCCTATTTGAAAGGGTATAGGAAAAAGGCAATTTGGCCTCAGTAACTGCTGTGAACAAAAGCAATGAAGTTTAAACCAGTGTGGGCTGGAGATGGCTGAATAGCAAAGTGGTAGATAAATGCTAAATGTCTGCAAGGCCCCAACCCCTTTAAAACAAAGGCCAAACTCTTCAAGGTAACATGTAACTCCTTTTGGTTCCAACCTATCATTCCAAGTAAGTACCATCCTACTTCCCTCACAATAACTTATACTCCAGTGAAAATAGATAACTGTGACTACTGGTGATAACCTGAACACATTCTGTTTCCTCCATGCACGGCTTTGTTCATCTATTAGGAAGTGTGCTCCTGTCCAGGAGCAGCATTTAAAATCCTACTCCTCCTTCAACAACCAGCTTAAATGCTATTTCCTCCATGATGTACAACCAACCTGGATAAACATTATCTTTTCATTGGGGTTTCTAAAGTACTTTGTTTTTCCTTTTACTTGGACACTCAAAGGTTAGGTTTGGGCCCCTATGAAAATAAAAATAGATGTCTCTGATTCAGATAATCAGGGAAAAGAAGCCCAAAGCTGTCAGCTTTTTAGGAAATAACCAACAAAATGAATCTGATGGGTAAGACCCAAACAGGAAGGATAAAATACCTTTGCTGAAAGCTTATCAATCATCAAAAGGTGAATGAAGGCATGTGTAGTACATTCAGTTTGGAGTCCCCCAGATTCATGTTTCTAAATTGCCATTTAGTCTGTTTGTTAGCTGTGGCTGTCTGTGAAGCAAATGCTTTCCAGATGGAAAACTTGACTGAGCAGAAAACAAGAACTTGTGCCACATACAAAATGAGAAAGAGTTTCATTCTTTAAGACACCCTTGCCCTTGAAGACCAGAGGTGTGTGAATAAAATTTGAATTTCTAAGGTGTGTTCAGAAACTTAGCTGAACTCTCTTTTGAATCTGCTAAAGTGGGTGAAACTACATATACTACTGTGGTTTGTGAGGTCACAGGAATTTGGCAAATGTTAGGACACAGTGAAGCCTGAAGCAAACTTATCATGGGTTTTGCTTGTTGTTGTTGTTTTTAGGTGCTGTTGCGTCCTCTAAGACTCATAGTGAACCTATAAAATGACTAGAAAGCTAGACTAGAATTATGACTAAATTGAGATTTAAGGCAGAGACCAATGGATTCACAGAAACGAAATAAAATCAAATTACTGACACAGCAACCTCCCAAATACCACAGTTCTGTTAGGCCTTCAATGTGTTAGCTATTATTAAAGAGAAAGGCACAATTTCACAGACAAATTAAGTTGCCCGGTACTGGTCAGCAAATCATAAACGTTAAAGGCATAAAAGATTTAACACAAATTAATCAATTAAAAACCTGTCAATATCTGAATTCTGTCGATATTTGAACAAATTTTCCAATTAACCTTGGGAAAGCTGTTCAATTTTTCAGTGGGCAGTGCTATTGGGAAATTATTATTATTCAGCTCTCTTCAAAGGGCACCAGAGATTGTTTCAAAATACTTTTTAAAACAGAAACATTCAATCTATTCAGCTTGCTGTGGAAACCCAGAACCTGGGGTCTCCCACAGTTCTTCCCTTGTTGTTAGTGGCTACTGAGTCCATTTGGTGTAGCACAGTACTCCATAAAGTTTTCAAGGCTTTGACCTTTCAGAAGCCGATTGCTATGCCTTTCTTCCCTGCTGCCTGGGGGAAGGGGGTTTCTAACAGCCAATCTTTCATCTAAGAGTTGTGCACTTAACCATTTGTTTAGTCTTTCCCTAAGATATCTTAAATGGTTAATTACACAGTATGCATACATTTTCTGTATTTAATACAAGGGTACATACGTTAAAAAATGAGGCTAAGGCAAGCATGCCAGTGGCAACACTTTTACTCTGCCAAATGTCATAGATCTAAGAGATTCAAAAAGATCACATGAATGCACATTAATTAATTCTATTGATTAACATCTGGAATTTTCAGAAAGGATCTCAATCTTCATTCATTCAATCATCAACAATCTGAATGACCTACTATGCACCAGAAACTGGATGAACAAGAGGTCCATTTCCGTTTTATGGGGCTAAGTAGCCATTAGCATTTTATTCCGCAATTCTTCAGAAAAATAATCTATGAAGTGAAAATATATTAAGTGCAATGCAAAATCTCCTATACCACTACAGATGTTGTTGTTGTTATGTGCCATCGAGTCTATATGAGAATGGAAATTTTGCTGGATAAACTACTGCAAAATAACAAAAATGCATCATGTTGGGTTTTTTTTTAAAGAAAAAAAAGAAACTTTCCTAGTCCCTAAGATAGGCATGAGAAGATATAATGATTGCTTCCTTTCCCTAGTTGTACAGTTAGAAAATCATAGGTATCCTGTATTTAAAATAAATAAATAAGTAGAAGGCTACGGTACCTTTCCTTGTTTCCTTTAACCAAGAAGCTGGAAGCACCAAGATACACAGTACTTGCATTTTTAATGAACAAACAATTTAGGCTACAGCAACCAATGAAGAAAAATGTCACCATAAGGAAAAGTGGAAGTGACCTGGAATCCTCCAGTGCTCAAGTTCCATTAAGGTGTGACCAGTTCCAACACAGGTGCCTTTCAACCGCACTACTCTCCATATAAATACCTGTATCATGTATCTACTCCAAAACCTTGGACCTTTCAGAACTATCCCAAACGGCTGACCGGATTCTTCACACAATTAAGAAAACTATCTGACCTCTAAATGGTGGTTCTAAAAGAAATGATTTTTTATAAGCAAACTCCACCTCAGTTAAATTAAACCAATACAAGTCTGAATATGACACAAACCCCAGAAAACTACTCACCTAAACCTTAGTACTTAGCTTTTTTTCCCCAGTGCTTTTGAAAAAAGGGGTAAAATATCGCCCACTTTGTATTCACATTTTGTTCCAACAAGGCTGCCTAAGAAAACATGAGGGCTCAAGGGAAAAATCAGTATCTCATATGCTCTTCTTTGTCCCCAAATTTCCCACACCACCTCACAATCTCCCCCATTACTTCACTCCATTGCTTAACTATTAACTCACCTACATATTTCTACAATTTCACCACCCGTTGTGAGATCAACAACAAGCCACATCAAAATTTACGGAGCTAACTGTGAATCACAGCTAGAGCTGCACTTTAACTGTTTTGTTTTGATCTCCTAAAGGAATCAGAGTGAAAATAGGAGAAAACTTGGAAAAGTGAAAAAAAAATGTGTTCCATCCGTTATTCTTACAGTCTCACTGTAAGGACCCATCTGGTATCAAGAGTGATCAGCTTTCCCTTTCCACCCCACAGGCAGCATCTCGCGGCCTCCCCTCCGTTTATCCTAACAACTCCTCCCCTTCTAGAACCAGGACAGGGAGAGAACATTCCTACACCTCCAAGATCTCCCCTCCCAACACACACACTGTTATTCAACATTACTTCCCACTCCGTTACACCTACACCAGCTCATCTCCCCCAGCACAACCAGAACCCCCTTCTAATGGACTCAAAGTTACTTCCACCCCGTAAGCGAAATGCCTCTGGCAACCCCCGCTGGACCCAATTTCCTCAGGCTACAGCTCTAAATCTAGGGTCTCGCAGTCATCAGCCTCTCCCCACGTGTACGCAAGCAGGGAGGGTGCCCAGCCTGTCCCCTTCCCAATTTACTAAAGTGTTTCCTCCTTAGCCCAATCCCACAGACTCCCAACCCAAGGAGCATTGTCTCGTCTACCCAGCCCTCGAAGAGCGACCCCAAAGTACTCGGCCCACCCCGAAGAGCTTCAATCTTTTCCTCAGTATACGCCGCCCCGCCCTCTCCATCCTTCAAGAGGCTGGCGCCCGACCCTCCGCACCGCCCGAGCTTCGCTCTCCCCGCCCCCAACTGTCGCTGCCAGTGCTCTGCCCCTCACCCTGGGCTCCCGCCGTCGCGCGCTCCCCGCCCCCCGATCCCCGCCTCTAGCGGGCTCTTCACCTCAAAGCAGCGCCCAAGAGCCCGAGGGGAATCGGTGCCGCGCTACAGGCGCGTCGCGTCAAGCCGGCCGATGGAGGGGTGGCGCCCACAAAAGCAACAAGCCGAGTGGCCGCGATCGAGCACCTTACTGAAGCGGCGTACCGCAGGCCCAGGCAAACAGCCCTCCCCTCTGTCGAACAAAAGAGGCTCGCACTCTGCGCTGCCCGCCGCCCGCACTGCGCAGGCGCAAGGGCCCGCCGCACAGCACCATGGGGCTGAGTCCGTCCAAGCCTACAAGGCCCGAAGTGCTCCGCGCGTTTTACGGCGCCACGCACAGCTTGCGCGGGCTCTAGGGAATTTTAGGTTTTAAATTGCAGATCTTCGGTGGTTGAAAATGCTGTAAACTAGAAAATTGGAACATGTGGTTTTACAAGCGAGTCCCTCAATATTTCGTCCGAAAAATCAACCACTTCTGGACGATTCTGTAATTAAATCCTTAAATCATTTGACAATAGATTCTTCACCAGAATTTTATCAAATCACCTCCAAATCTCCAGCGATCTCCTTAGCCTTGAGAACTTCCTCTTGGAGGCCTTCCTTGGTCCCCTAGACTAGGTCAGGTCTCCTGGGTAGGTGTCAGCATGGCATCCTGGACTTTCCCTTTTCATTAGCTATGCCATTGAGCACCCCTCACCCAACCACTCCAAAGGGAAAGAGTTGAGCAAACCATGCTTATTTTTTGAGATGTGTTCTAATTCTGGTATCAACTAGATTGCTGTTTCCAATCCGTTCAAATGGAAATTCCATCTCCCATCATAACATTCATCCCCACTTTATGTCATTGGTTAGTATCTTTCTTCCCTTCTGGACTCCAAGCTCCAGTGAGAACAAAAACCTGCCTTGTGTTACTCATCACTACGTCCCCAGCGCCCAATACAGACAGTCCCTGGCATAGAGTAGCCAATCAGTATTTGCTGAATAAATGAATGACACGTCCTCCTCCTACTTGACAGAAAACAAGTGATGAAGCTTTCCTTCATCTCTTCGCTCCAGATGTGTGTGTGTAATTCTCTCCCTTACTCTGTGTTTCCTATCCAGTAAGGAACTATACAGGAGCTCTGGAGGTGTAGTACCTAAGGCACTTGACTGCTATCCAGAAGGCTGGCGGTTCAAACCCACTAGCCCCTCCTAGGAAGGAAGATCGGGCAATCTACTTCCATAGTGCTACCTCAGAAACCCAAGGAGGGGTCGCTATCAGTCAGACCCGACTTGATGGCAGTGAGTTGTTGAGTTGAAGGAACTATACAGACACAACCTCTAAAGGTGACGATTTTTTTGGTCTTATTTCAAACATTAAACTGTTCTCTTAAGCAGAGGAAAGGGGAAAGTTTGCAAAAGTCTAGTACCCTCTATCTTAGAATGCAGAGGTCTGCGTTTATGGAACAGTTATGGTGAGCTAGGCACTGTGCAGGCCTCTGGAAAGTTGCCATGTAGGAAACTCAGCCCAGAACTATAATAGAGTTTTTGCTAAAAGGGCTGTGGGGACACAGAAGAAGGCAATTCTTCCTGAGATATTTGGGTTGGTTCTCCACGACAATGCAGAACTCCTTCCCTTTTGAATCATCCTATTCTGTTTTGAATAACTCTAATGATGAAAGTGGGCTTTGGGCATGTAGCGGATAAGGCATTTGGCTGCTAACCAGAAGGTCAGCGGTTTAAACCCACTATCTGCTCAGCAGAAGGAAGATGAGGTGATCTACTTCCCTAAAGATTTACAGCCTCGGAAACCCAAGGGGGTCACTATGAGTTGGAATCAACTCAATGGCAATAAGTTTGGTGTTTTTGCTAATGATAAGAAAATCAGTTTTAATAATATTCACTACTATTACTGAATGCGTACCACAGTGCTAAGAATTCTGGTAAGCTCTTGATTGGTGTTAATTCTCACAACTACCTTGGGAGATGGAAATTACTATTTAGCAGATAAGGCTCAAGGAGATTGTGTGACCTACAGCAACAGCATTCAACAAGAAAGTGATAGAAACAAGATTTGATCTTTTTTCTAACTCCCAAACTAGACCCTTGCTTGCATAAAATGCTAATCCCTGGTTTCATATTGAGATGAATTCTGCTTCCTATATAAATGGCACCCATTCTCTCTACTTCTGGCTTCTGTAGCCTCACAGAGTAAACTTAATCCCTCTTTCATATGGTCCTTCTAATATTGAAATTCAGCCTTCATATTCCCTAAAAAAAAAAAAAACTTCACTGAGTCAGAGTCAGTCCTGACTCATAGTGACCCCTCCGAGGAGTGCTTGGTGGGTTAGTAGTAAAATGCCTTAGGCACTATGCCACCAGAGCTCCCTCATATTCCCTAAGGTCTTGTTTTTCTAGGCTAAATGTCACCATTTTCTTAAACTAGGCGTCATAGGACAACTGATTCAAATCCAGCACATCTAGTTGGTTAGAAAATTCTGGCTCTTCTGTGTGTGTCTCTAAGTAGGAAGAGCCATCACTGCCCTACGCCATTCTTGAATTAAGGCCACCAAATATTACTTTCTCTGTTTTGGTGGCCAGGCACAACTGGGTTATGCTAATCTCAAATCAAGTAAAGGCTCTCCTTAATAATCTGTTCTGGAATCCTGCCGGGGATGGGTGTCAAACTGACAGGCCTAAAGTTTCTGCACCAACATTATCCATATTGAAAGCCTGTTGGTATTAAATGGCTTTAGTTCTTTTCTCTTCCCATAAGAATGGTGATATTTTAAGTTATTTAGTCTCTCAGAGATGCTTCTGTTTCTAAGAGGAATGGCAATTCAGTCGGTAATATCACTCAAGACAACATTTGGAGTGGCACTGCTCATGTCCACAGGAAATGCTTCTGTAACAGCAGGTTATTAAAATCACAAGGAATATCAGGAAGGAGAAAAGTGTGATGTTTCAAAAAGAACAAGGGTTTGGGAAGCAGGCTGAACTGGATTAGATTGTCTCTAGTCTTTGTGTGCTGTTTAATCTTGGACAAACTGCATTACTGAGTCTCAGACACCGAGAAAATGATTACTGTGGGATAATGGTAATGTTGTGTGAAGGGAGTGACATACAGCCAACACTTAGTAGACCACAGGTATTTTAGGTACAGTAGATAACAGCTTGTGAGATTTGATTTAAAGTGTGAGGGAAGTGTTGTTGTTATGTGCCATCGAGTTGGACCTGACCCATAGCGACCCCTCCTTGGGTTTCCAAGACAGTATCACTACGGAAGTATATTGCCCAACCTTCCTTCCGAGGAGTGGCTGGTGGGTTTGAATCGCCAGCCTTCTGGTTAGCAGTCAAATGCCTTAGGCACTACACTACCACAGCTCCTATTCTACTAGTATGGCATATCATTTTTACCTTAGGCACTACACTATCAGAAGGAAGTATAAACCAAAACAAATCCATTGCCCTGGAGTTGATTCCGACTCATAATGACCCTACAGGGCAGAGTAGAACTGCCCCCATAGAGTTTCCAAGGCTGTAATCTGGATGGAAGCCGACTGCCACATCTTTCTCCCTGTGGAGCAGCTGATGGATTCCAACCCCTGACTTTTAGGTTACTAGACAAACATGTCATATTGTTGTTGTTGTTGTTATATGCCATCGAGTCAGACCCAACTCATAGTGACAACTGGAAAGACAGAATAAAAATGAATATTTCTCAAATCATACACCACAGCCCCTGATATTAATTGGTTTTGTTCTGTGAAGGGATCATTACTAGTGAGGGAGTCCGGTTTCTACCAAGAAGTAACTTGAGAATCAGACAGCTGGGGCAATAAGAGAGACAAAGCTGTGAGGCATTTTTGCCTTTTAAAAGAGGATGATTGTTAACCCCAAATGAATAAATCTTTAACAATAGAATTTTAAATGAAACAAATAATTTCAGTTAGTATGGAGGAAAATATTTTAAGAACTCTGGTAGCATAGTGCCTAAGGCACTTGACTGCTAACCAGAAAGCTGGAGGTTCAAATCCCCCAGCCACTCCTCGGAAGGAAGGTTGGGCAATCTACTTCCGTAGTGATATACTGCCTTGGAAACCCAAGGATGGGTTGCTATGAGTTGGGTCTGACTCGATGGCACATAACAACAACAATAACAATCCTTAAGGAGACATCTTTCTTCAGTACTTCAAAGAGGTCATTTGCAGCAGATTTGCCCAGTGCAATACCAAAATCAAACCAAACCCACTGCCATTGAGTCGACTCTGACTCATAGTGACCCCCACTGGGTTTCTGAGGTGCTAGATCTTTATGGAGGTAGATTGCCCAGGCTTCCTTCTGCAGAGCAGCTGGTGGGTTTGAACCACCAACCTTCTGCTTAGCAGTCAAATGCCTTAGGCACTGCACTTCCATGTTTGTCTGATTTCTTGACTGTTGCTTCCATTGGTGTTGATTGTGGAACCAAGTAATATGAAATCTTTGACAGCTTCAGTCTTCTCTCCATTTATCATGATGCTGCTTATTCGTTCAGTTGTAAGGATTTTTGTTTTCTGTATATTGAGGTGTAATTCATACTGCAGACTGTAGTCTTTAATCTTTATCAGTAAGTGCTTCAAGTTATCTTCACTTCCAGCAAACAAGGTTGTGTCATCTGCGCATCGGCAGTTGTTAATGACTCTTCCTTCAATCCTGATGCAGTGTTCTTCTTCATATAGTCCAGTTTCTTGGATTATTTGCTTAGCATATAGATTGCTCAGCATACAGATTTCAGAAATGTAAATTGGATTCAGAAAGGCATGTGGAGTGAGGGATATCATAGCTGATGTCAGATGGATCTTGACTCAAAGCAAAGAATACCAGAAAGATGAGTCCTTGTGTTTTATTGACTATGCAAAGGGATTCAATTGTGTGGATCATAACAAATTATGTATAACTTTGAGAAGAATGGGAATTCCAGAACACTTAATTGTGCTTCCTGCTCATGAGGAACCTGTACATAAATGAGGAGGCTGTCATTCGAACACAACAAGGGGATACTGCATGGTTTAAAATCAGGAAGGGAGTATGTCAGGGTTGTATCCTTTCCCCATACTTATTCAACTTGTATGCTGAGCGAATAATCTAAGAAGCTGGACTATATGAAGAAGAATGTTGCATCAGGATTGGAGGAAGGCTTATTAACAACCTGCGATATGCAGACAACACAACTTTGCTTGCTGAAAGTGAGGATGACTTAAAACACTTACTGATGAAAATTAAAGACTACACTCTACAGTATGGATTACACCTCAA